GCTCCTGGCTCAGCCTCCCAAGTAGCTGGAAGTGCAGGCTCATGCCACCACACCCAGCTGATTTTTTTTTTTTTTTTTTTGACACAGAGTCTTGCTTTGTTGCCCAGGCTAGAGTGAGTGCCGTGGTGTCAGCCTAGCTCACAGCAACCTCAAACTCCTGGGTTCAAGCGATCCTGCTGCCTCAGCCTCCCAAGTAGCTGGGACTACAGGCATGCGCCACCATGCCCGGCTAATTTTTTCTATATATATTAATCGGCCAATTAATTTCTTTCTATTTATAGTAGAGACAGGGTCTCACTCTTGCTCAGGCTGGTTTCGACATTGAGTAATCCGCCTGCCTCGGCCTCCCAGAGTGCTAGGACTACAGCCGTGAGCCACCGCACCCGGTCATGATTTTTTTATTTTTTGTAAATACGGGGTCTTGCTATGTTGCCTAGGCTAGTCTTGAACTAGCCTCAAGTGATCCTCCCACATTGGTCTCCCAAAGTGTTGAGATTACAGGCATGAGCCACTGTATCTGGCTCTCTCTTGCTTATTTTATTTATTTATTTTTGTTTGGTTGGTTTTTTGATGTTGTTTTGGGGGTTTTTTTGTTTTGTTTTGCTTTGTTTTTGAGACATGGTCTTGCTCTGTCACCCAGGCTGGAGTGCAGTGGCATCATCATAGCTCACTATAGCCTCAAACTCTTGGCCTCAAGTGATCCTCCTGCCTTAGCCTCCATGAGTAGCTGGGCTACAGCTACTACAGGCAAGCACCACTACACCTAGCTAACTTTTCTATTTTTTGTAGAGACAGGGTCTCCCTCTTGCTCAGGCTGGCCCTGAACTCCTCAGCCTCCCACAAACTCCTGAGCTCAAGCAATCATTCTGGCTCAGCCTCCTGAGTAGCTGGGATTACAGGCATGCACAAGCATGCCCGGCAACATTTTCCTACATTTTTCTATATATTTTTAGTTGTCCAGCTAATTTCTTTCTATTTTTAGTAGAGACGGGTTCTCACTCTTGCTCAGGCTGGTCTTGAGCTCAAACCATCCGCCCACCTCAGCCTCCCAGAATGCTAAGATTACAAGTGTGAGCCACCATGCCTGGTCAGGTTTGCATTTTAGAAAGATTCCCTTGGCCCTTGAGTGGCAGTGCCCAAGGGTGGGTGTGAGACAAGATAAGAGGCAGAGAGTCTGAGTAAGGGTTGTGGCTGACAAAGGGGACTCTAAGCCACGTCCTGGTTCATAGGAGAAGCTCAGTTTTCCCAGCCTTGCATGTCTGCCTCCTGACACCCACCCCAGCGCTGTGCTCCAGGCAGGCCCACTCCCTTCCTGGCACGAGGAGGAGGGAAAGGCAGAAGCAGCAAGGCCAGGGAGGGCATTGAAAGCCCTGTCAAGGAGGCCAGACTGTCTTCTGGTGACAGTGGAGAGCCATGGCAGGTTCTGGAGCCAAGGAGTGATCTAACAAAATTGGGGCTTATAGGAGGCTATCCTAGATCCCCACCTCCTCCTTAACGACAGGATCTCCAACCCACCCCAGGTGGTCTAAAGTGGAGTCAGGCCAACCCTAGGCTCTAAGGTAGGACACCGGAGTCTTGAAATCTAGGGCGGAGTGTGGTTGGGAAGTGGTGGAGAGCAAAGGCTCTGCTGCCCCTGTCTTGGTGAGGCCAGCTCCGTCCCTCCCTGGCTGTATATGTTTACTCGAGCCCTTAACCTCTCTGAGCCTGGAATGCCTGGGGCATGGGGATCGGATAACATAACACCCCTAAATCAGCTCCGGCCTGGCACAAACACGTGCTCTACAAAGCAGCTATGACCATGTGCAAGGCACTATCCCTCTGAGCCTCAATTTCCTCATTTCTGGAATAGGGACAGTGATGTGTGCCCCTTGGGGCTGTTGGAGTTCGCTTGCTTGCTTGCTTCCTGCAAGCTATAGCTGGAGTGGGGGCTGGTAGGCAGAAGGGCCAGGGCTGCCAAGCCAGGAAGGGGATGGGTATGGAACACAGGGTGCTGGTCCCAATCAGTGGGGCCAGCCCTGCTCAGGGCCTGGACATCGACCCTGGCTGACCATTGAGGCCACTGAGGCCCATTGTGATCTGGTCTCAGTCTGCCTCCTCTTAGGCCCCTGTGTTGTCATCTATGGGCTCCAGGGCCGCTGACTGCTTCCCAGGCTTTGCTCCTGCTGGTTCCTTGGCCTACAATGCCCTTCCTGCAGCCCTCATCTTGTGAAAGGCCTCAATGTGGGTGTCTAATGGGGGAGGCTCAAGTGGACAGGGAGGAGCTGGGCTGGGGACCAGGGCAGCTGGGGCAGATGCTGGTGGGGAGTAGAACTTAGTCTTTCGAAGGCCACTTAGGGGTCCCCAGAGCCCCTACCCGGAAGAGGCAACCTAACCTATGCCATCCTTGGTCTCAGGTAACCCCCCGCGGCCAAGCCCAGAGCCCGAGGAGCCCAGGCGGACGGGCCCAGCAGAGCGCAGCGGCAGCTCCGGGACGCCCAGGCTGATTGAGCGCGCACTGCTGCGGGGCACCGCCCTGCTCGCCTCGCTGGGCCTGGGCCGAGACCTGCAGCCACCTGGGGGCGCAGGCCGGGAGCGTGGGGAGTCCCCGCCAATGCCTCCCACACCAGTGCCCATGCTGTGCCCCACCGAGCTGCCCCCTTCCCCGCTTGTGCGCCTCTCGCCCAAGATGCCTGAAACCCCACCCACCCCTGTGCCCCTGCTGCTGGACCTGGGAGTTCCTACGGGCCAGCGGTCAGCCAAGAGCCCCAGGCGCGAAGAGGAGATGCGCGGTGAGTGGCCCAGAGACTGTTGCCCGGATGCAAGATGGGGGCACCAGAGGAGGGGGAAGTGGCTGGGGGGGGCACATGCAGGGTGGCAAGGCTTGGGGGCCACAGCCGCCTGCTGGACCCCTAACTGGGCTCTGCAGGCCTTGAGGAGCAGGTAGGGAGCTGAATTCCAAGTTCAGCTGGTGGTCAAGGACCGGGTGGGGCTGGGTTAGGCCAGTTGTGCAATAAGGGAAGTAATAAAAAAAATAATAATAATATACTATTGCTAGCAAATGTCCTTTGACTGCTCCCTGTGCCAGGCACTGCAGCACTTTAGAGAGATTGCCTCGTGTAACTATCATAACCGCCTGCCTATTAAGTGCTCTCATGATACCTATTTTATTTTATTTATTTATTTATTTATTTTATTTTATTTATTTTTTTTTTTGAGACAGATTCTCGCTTTGTTGTCCAGGCTAGAGTGAGTGCCATGGCGTCAGCCTAGCTCACAGCAACCTCAAACTCCTGGGCTCAAGCAATCCTGCTGCCTCAGCCTCCCAAGTAGCTGGACTACAGGCATGCGCCACCATGCCGGCTAATTTTTCTATATGTATTAGTTGGCCAATTAATTTCTTTCTATTTATAGTAGAGACAGGGTCTCGCTCTTGCTCAGGCTGGTTCAACTCCTGACCTCGAGCAATCCACCCCGCCTCAGCCTCCCAGAGTGCTAGGATTACAGGCGTGAGCACACCGCGCCCGCCTATTTATTATTTTTTGAGACCAGAGTCCCTTTGGTTGCCCCAGGCTAGAGTGAGTGCCGTGTCAGCCTAGCTCACAGCAACCTCAAACTCCTGGGCTCAAGCAATCTGCTGCCTCAGCCTCCCAAGTAGCCTTGGGACTACAGGCATCGCCCTGGCTAATTTTTTCTATATATATTAGTTGGCCAATTAATTTCTTTCTATTTCTAGTAGAGACGGGGTCTCGCTCTTGCTCAGGCTGGTTTTGAATTCCTGACCTTGAGCAATCCACCCGCCTCGGCCTCCCAGAGTGCTAGGATTACAGGCGTGAGCCACCGAGCCCAGCTGATACCTGTTTTTTAGATGAGGAAATTTAAGGCACAGAGATTAAGGGGCTCACAGCTCCCACAACTAGTAAGTGGCAGGGCTGGGATCCAGGTCTAGGCAGGTGTTCTCCACAGGCCTCGCTCTTAACCACTACAAAATAAACGAATGCACCACAGGTCATGAAGGGCTGAGGTCAAGAAGGCTGAGTCAGGTAGTTCACTGTACAAATGGGGAAACTGAGGCCCAGAGGAGGGCAGTGCCTTCTGGGGACACCTGGAAGTTCATGGCTTCCTGACCCTGTGCCTTTCCCATACTCTCACAGGAGGCACTGTCTCACCCCCACCAGGGACATCACGCTCCGCTCCCGGCACCCCAGGCACCCCACGTTCACCACCCTTGGGCCTCATCAGCCGACCTCGGCCCTCACCCCTTCGCAGCCGCATCGACCCATGGAGCTTCGTGTCAGCTGGGCCACGGCCTTCACCCCTGCCCTCACCACAGCCTGTGCCCCGCCGGGCACCCTGGACCTTGTTCCCAGACTCGGACCCCTTTTGGGACTCCCCACCTGCCAACCCCTTCCGAGGGGCCCCCCAGGACTGCAGGGCGCAGACCAAAGACATGGGTGCCCAGGCTCCATGGGTGCCAGAGGCGGGGCCTTGACTGGGCCAGGCCACTGCCTCACACTCCAGCCACCCACAGGAGCCACAGCATACACTGGAATGGGAACCAGGCCAGCCTCTGTAGCTGCCTAGGTTTCCCCCAGGGACTCCACCCCCCTTTGGGGGTCAGGAACACTACACTGCACAGGAAGCCTTCACACTGGATGGGGGGCCTGCACCCCCCACACCTGCAACCTGTAGGTCCCCCTGACTTACCTATCCCCCACTGGGGCCCAACACTGTACCCAGCTGGTTGGGAGGACCAGAGCCTGTCTCAGGGAATTGCCCCCAGGGGTGGTGCAGGGAGGAGGGGAGGTGCAGGGGAGAGGGGCTGGCCTCAGCTATCACCAGCACTTTTGACCAAGTCCTGCTACTGTGGCCCCTGCCCCAGGGCTTACTGCCTGGACCCCCCCTGTTCTGGGGGTCACCTGGGGCCAGGGCTCTCTAGGTGCCTTCCTGCTGCCCCAGCCAGGGTTGGGGCCTTAGCCTTGGGATCCAATAAAGCCAAATAAACTCGTAAGCTGTCTCCCCAAATGCAACCTGTCATCTTTCTTGGAGGTAATCAGGAAACCCAACTTATTATGTGACCCTAGTATCCTCAGGGCCCGTGCCTCCCACACATTGGGCAGTTGGCCTGGGCCTAGGCCGGGTTACCTTGCACTGCACCCTTCTCCTGGGACCAAGTCCATCGACCTTGGTCAATCATTTAAGCCCCTCCTCAGGCTACCCTACACATGCACACGCTGGCCTCGCCCTCCTCTCCCCACCCTTGCCAGGGCTTCCCTGCTCCACATTTGCACATGCCATTCCCACCATTCAAGTGACCATTTGCCCTGATCCTCCCTGTTGCTGGGTAGTCCCTGCTTATCCTCTGGGCCCAGCTACAACATCCCCCCACCCAGGACACCTTCCCTGGCCATGCTGCCCCCACACAGGTGGCTCTCTGAGCTCAGGAGCCTACAGTCCTCTGGGTTTCCCTGGCTCTGTCTCAGAGATCCCATGGTCTGGACACATGAGAAATAAGCTCCACCCACCTCCGCATGGTGACCTACTATGGCACCTGGCACCACCAGCAATGTCCCGGACACTGCCCTGGGGGTTCTGTTGGCGAACACTTGCACACGGTGCCCTGGGGCTCAGCTCCTGAGTAGTGGTTACAGGAGTTGTAGCCCGGGCTTCCCCCTCCCCCAGCGCCCCATGGCAGCCAGACTCTGTCTGCAGTTCAGCAGGGTGGGGGGCCAGGAGGACAGGCACAAAGCTGCAGGAAGGACCACGAGTGAAGGCTGTAACGACATTTGCCCAGGATACTCTGGGCATCCTGAGTCCTCTCTTTACCTACCACCACCACTGCCACCTGATCCATCCCAAGTGCCACCAACCCCTCTCCCACTCCATTGCCCAGGCCACTGCCGTTCCATCCTGGATGCCTGCAGAAGCCCCCTTAGGTCTCCTGGGCCACACTTGTCTTCAAGGGCCTGTGTCCTTGCCCTCCCCCACGCCACCACAGCCAGCCTGCCTGTTCTTTCCGCACCCCAAGCTCATTCCCACCTTGACTGGCATCTTCTTATTCCCCAGCTGAAGCATCACCTCCTCAGAGGAGCTCTCCCAGGAAGACACGCCTCCCTCAGAAGTCTCCCATTACCCCGGTGTTTCTTTCATGGAACTTAGGACAGCATGCCATTGTCATGCTTCTTTGCTAATAGCAGAGGTTTCTGGCGTGAACACCAGGAGGGAAGGGGCCTGTGTCTCTTCCCCAGTGTTCTCAGGGCCTAGACAGCTGTTGAGTGAATGAATGGGGTCCAGGTGTCTGGGTGAGTATGACCTTGAATAAGTGTGAGGCCCTCTCCGGGCCTGGCTTCCGCCCTGTCTGCGCCCACACCGCAGCCTTCCTCAGCCGCCCCCACCGTCCCAGCTGCGGTGAGATGCAGTTGCCCCAGAACCTGACGGAGGTGCTCCAGCTCGCCTTCCTCCCCTTCACACTTGCCGGCTGTGTCCCAGCCGCCCACGCAGCACCTCTTCCCAGCCCCACCCTGTCGGCCCCTCCCAGGTGCTTGGGGTGGCGCAGCCAGCTCCCACGGCACCCCAGACTTGGGTGCACACCATGGGGGTTCTAAGGCCCTGGGCCCGATACTGGCTCCTGGTTGTGGCCCACCTGCTGGCCCTGGGGCTTGGGGCTGTGGTGCTCCAGGCACTGGAGGGGCCTCCAGCACTCAGGCTCCAGGCTCAGCTCAGGGCTGAGCTGGCTACTTTCCACGCCAAGCATGGGGCCTGCCTGGCCCCTGGAGAACTGAAGGAGCTGCTGGGTGCTGCTCTGGCAGCCCAGGCCCACGGGGTCTCCAGCCTGGGCAACGGCTCGGAGGACAGGAACTGGGATCTGCCCTCGGCCCTGCTCTTCACTGCCAGCATCCTCACCACCACGGGTAAGGCCACCAGGCAGCCCCATCCGAGAGGGCTCCTGAGGCCATTACTCCCTGGGGTCCCTGGGGGTGCGACACCCTTCCCCTAGCCCCAAAGTGCCAGACGGAGCCAGGGCCCTTTCAGACCTGACATCACAGCTGGGGTTCCCCACACCAACACACCCCAACTGGTGCCTCCACTTCAGCTGCCAGGAGGGGTGTGGCCTTCCCAGCCGCTCCCCCAGGCACCCTTGGAGACCCAGGAGAGGTGCCCAGATCCCTGCCTGACACAAGGCAGGGACGACAGTACAGTGGGATGGACTCTTGGATGGAGGGAAACAGAAGGAACCTGGGAAGCACAGACCACGACCACAGACTCAGGAGGGGAGTGAGGGAAGGCTTCTCAGCTAGGAAGTCCTGAGGACATGCTAGCAAGGACAGGAGAGCACAGACATGAGGGATGAAGGAATTCCTGGCAGAAGAACAGCAAGTGCATAGGTCCAGAGACATAGAGCAAGGGGGCCACAGCCCTGGTTTTTTTGTTTTATCCTGCCAAGTACCTAAATATTTCTTGAATTGAATTCTGTATTTCCAACTTCTTTTGGAAAATCAGGAAATCTATTCACACTGAGCCAGATCTCCCAAGGCAACACGCTGGCTGCAGCGGAGAGGAGGGGGCCTGCCCCTTTGGGCGGAGCACATGCTCTCTGGTCCACCCCAGTCCTCACCATTCCCTCCTGTCTCACATCTGCCTCCTGTAGCCATTTCAGTGTGCAGCCCCCGGACTAGCTGACCCTGCTCTCCAGCACACCCTGAGGGCCCGCCTCGCCCCACCCTGCACGGGCACTGCTGGCCTCACACGCCCTCTCCTGTGTGCTGCCTCCGTGCGGCTCTTCACGTCAAACGTCAAGACTGATTTTCCTGCCTGCCTCCCCCACCCAAGGGCAGGGCCTGGGCAGGCTCAGATTCCAGTACGAGGCCTGGCACACAGGACGATGCGATACACATTTGGGGAGTGGAAGAGCAGGTGACATTGCACTGGCTGTGAATTTGGAAATATTTGCAAGTACTTAGAAAAGCAGAGCTGAGGAATCCCTCAGAGAACTGGGGTCTTTCTCTCTAAGGCAGAACAGCAGTATTCAGAATTGTCCCAGCTGCAAAAGGCCTGAGGGACTGTCTTCTTTAATCCTTTCATTTTCCAGAAAAGAAAAGAGTGGCCCAGAGAGGTTAAGGGACTTTCCCAGGATCCCCAGTAAAGGAAGAGGAGAGTCAGACAGAATACAGGCCCGAACAGTTCAGGCAATTTTAACCACCAGGGAGCAGCAGCCTTCTGCAGGAGGTGATGTTGGGGGACGTGAGGATCCCAACAGGCAACCCATGCAAGAGCTCATTGCCCACTGTCTCTTTCTTCTCCAGGTTATGGCTACATGGCCCCACTATCAGCAGGCGGAAAGGCCTTCTGTGTGGTTTATGCAGCCCTGGGGCTGCCAGCCTCCCTAACACTTGTGGCTACCTTGCGCCACTGCCTGCTGCCTGTGCTTAGCCGCCCGGGTGCCTGGGTAGCGGCGCACTGGCAGCTGGCACCAAACAGGATTGTATTGCTGCAGGCAGCTGGACTGGGCCTGCTGGTGGCCAGCATCTTTGTGTTGCTGCCAGCACTGGTGCTATGGGGTCTGCAGGGAGACTGCAGCCTGCTGGAGGCCATCTACTTCTGCTTCAGCTCACTCAGCACCATCGGCCTGGGGGACTTGCTGCCCAGCCATGGCCATGGCCTGCATCCAGTAATTTACCACCTTGGCCAGCTCGCACTTCTTGGTGAGTTTGGCTGCCCAAGCCTGTTGGGGAGGAGGGAAGAGGGGCCTGGACCTAGGACTCCCATCACCCACTGGGGGACTGAGTCTCACAGGTGGAGGGACCCTGCCGGAGGGCATGGTATGGGACTTGTAGTCCAAAGAGACCTGATGGCAGGCTTAAGAGAGGTGTGAGTGGCACCAGGTGCCAAGGTGAGAGACCAGGCTGGGAGGTGGGGGAGCATCGTCAGCACCCCAAGAGCTGCCCGACCAACCTCTCTTCCCTAGGTTACTTGCTCCTAGGCCTCCTGGCCATGCTGCTAGCCGTGGAGACCTTCGTGGAGCTACCACAAGTCCGTGCCATCGTGAAGTTCTTCGAGTGCAGTGGCCCTTTGACAGCTGAGGACCAAGGTGGCATTCTAGTCCAGGATGAACTGGCTCTGAGCACCCTGCCACCCACAGCCCCAGCCTCAGAACAGGCCCCAGCTTGCTGACAGGTGTCAGGTGACCAAGTCCAGCTGCTTTAAGGTGGAGGAGCAGGAAGGAAACAGCCAGGAGCAGTTGGGGAAGAATCTGGAGATAGGGGTGGAGTGGATGTGAAGACCTCAGGGAATCATGTGTTAATTTAAACAAAAATAAAATGGGCAAGAACTTCAACTGTGTTTTCATGTCTTCGTTCGAATATGGCTTCTCTACAGCCATTGGCCATCATTTTTGGAAGGCCAGGTCCAGCCTCAGCTCTTCTGGGAACCTCAAAACCAGCACAGCCCCGCTAAGGATCGCTAAGGATCGCCGAGCCAACCTTCCTGGCCTAAGCCCCACAGTCTTCTGTCCATTGAGGTTCCAGGTTGTGCAGAGAAAGGGCTGGCTCTAGTGTACCCTTGTCTAACTTTATTGCGTGTCAAAACAGGACGGGGAGGGCGGGGACGGCGGTCCCCGGGCCGTCCTTCTCCACAGGACTCGCCGGCCAGGGCCCTGCCGTCGGGGAGGGGCTCCACGCGGCGCTCCCGGGACCCCCAACCCTCCGCGGACACGCGGACACGCGCACACGCCTACAGGCAAATAAATACGGCGCAGCCGCCCAGCCGCTCCCGTCCCTCGGGCCACCAGCCCCGGGAAGGGGCGCCCCCTGGCGGCCGTGCACACCGTCGGTGGGGCCGGTCCTCCGCGGCGCAGGCCGGGCGGCGAGCGAGGCTGCGGTCCGAGCCGGTGGGGAGCGGCGAAGGCCTCCGTGGCCGGCGCGGCCTCAGCTCAGCGTGCAGCGTTCGCGCCGGCTCAGCTGCCGGCTCAGCTTGCGGCGCCGCTGCTCCAGGCCGCGCTCCAGGCGCTCGTCCTCCTCCAGGGCGCTGGGAGGAACGGGTTCGGGTTCGAGTCAGCCTCAGAGGGTCCAGCTCCGGGCCACACCCAGCACCCTTGGGAGCCCGCCCCAGCGCCCTGCGCCGTCCGCCCCACTCACATCCGCTCCTTGTGGTCCAGATCCCGGACCAGCTCATCGCGCTGGTTCACCAGTGACACCAGCTCCTCCAGCAGGAGCTGCTCTCGGTGCTGCTGCGCGGCCGTTTTCTGCCAGTCTGAGGGCGGAGGCGGCTGAGGGTCAGGACGTGCTGGCCCCAGCTCTGTCCTGCCTCCCGACCCCTGGCCCCGTTTCCCACCTTCGATGGCCAGCATGGCCCGCAGCTCTCGGCTCAGCAGCTCGAACCTCCGCTCCAGGTCCTGCTCCTCGATGCTGGGAGGTGGAGGCGCCAGGTCAGGGAGACGGGGACAAGGAGAGAGTGCCCAGAAAGGGCTCTGGCCACTCCCTGGTCCCATCCCACCTCCCCATCAGTTCCCATGGACAGCAGGGCTCTCTGCAGAGCTATATTCCAGTCCCCGGGCGGAATGTTCCAAATGTTCTCCAATTGCTGGATGTTTATGTTGTCTCCCTCAATCCACCTTTTTTTTTTTTTTTTTGAGACCTAGTCTCCAGGGAGCCGCCTGCTCAGCCTGCTGAGTAGGAGTAGTCCCTGCCACAACGCCCAGCTAATTTTTCTATTTTTAGTAGAAACAGGGTCTTGCTCTTGCTCAGGCTGGCCTTGAACTCCTGAGCTCAAGTCATCTTCCCACCTCAGCCTCCCATAGTGCTAGGATTACAGGCATAAGCCACCATGCCCGGCCCTGACCCCTTTTAAAAGTAAGAACCCAGGGCTGGTCAGATGGTAGTGAGTTATCAAAATTTATTAACATTAGTGTCACTAAAGTTGGCATATAACACCCTCCATTGCTCTAGTACTCTGGGAGGCTGACTCGGGCGGATGGCTGAAGGTCAGGAGTTCGAAACCAGCCTGCCCAAGAGCAAGACCCATCTCTACTAAAAATAGAAAGAAAATAATTGGCCAACTAAAAATATATATAGAAAAAATTAGCTGGGCATGGTGGTGCATGCCTGTAGTCCTAAATACTTGGGAGGCTGAGGCAGGAGGATCACTTGAGCCCAGGAGTTTGAGGTTGCTGTGAGCTAGGCTGATACCACGGCACTCTAGCCCAGACAACAGAGTGAGACTCTGACAAAAAAAAAAGAAAGAAAGAAAGAAAGAAAGAAAAAACAACACCCTATTGCTGAATTTGACTGGCTTTAAAAAAAAGAAAAGAAAAAAAGAATCCAGAAGGATTATTTGGATGAACATTACTCATAAACAGGAAGTATTAGACCAAAATTATTCTGAAAAATAAACCCAAATGCAAAAGGGAGCCAAAGCCTCTCCCACACGGATGGTAAAGGTGATGACCTCAGAAAGTTGCTTCTGACCCCACTGGGCCCCAGCTCACCTCTCTCCAGCCTTCACTTTTCCTTACCTTAAAGGAACAGGGTCAAACTGCGGGACGCAACTCTGACCTTCCTGGGACACATTTTGCTCTGGGCCTTGGTTTTCTCATTAATAAAAATAGTAACAATTTGGGAAGTTTACACTTTACACAGCAAAGTGGATAGGACCAAAAATGAATAACATGACTGAGCATTAATTTTTCAAAAACATCCTTGTAGAAAAGAGAAAGCAATGAATAACTCTAAGCAAATTAGCTAAGGTTCCCTCTGCTCCCCAGCCCCGGGCCAGCTGGGAGGGCCGCACTCACAGCAACTGCAGCTGGTCCTGCCTCCGGATGAGAGCATTCTTCTTGTTGACCAGGGTGAACCACTCCTGGATCAGCACCTCCTCCTGCAGCTTGTTGGCACCTGAATCGGGCAGGGACAGTCACCAGGGCCACTTCCTGACCCACTGTCAGAGCAGGGCAGCTGGGGTTGAGGCAGGACGCTTGCTCTCTGGTGACATCCTAGAAGCCAGAGCAGTGTGCCCCAAGCTGTTTCGAGGCCTCGGCATGCCCAGCTGTAGCAATGGGAGCGCTGACCCCAGCCGTGCCTCCTCCCAGCTCCTCCCAAGGTCAGGAAGAGCTTCGGGGCCAGGCAGACCTAGGGGTACTTGTTGGGGAGTGGGCACCATGCCTGCCCCACCTGACTCCATGAGGCTCCTCAGCTGTGTCTCCACCTCAGCCGCACGCCCGTCTATCTGCCTCTGCTCCTGTTCCAGGGCCTGCAGCTCTGCACACACGTACTGACTTGTGTCCTGGAACCGTTGCTGGGGGCAGAAAGACGGGTAGGGGACAGGGTGGACTCAATGCAAACCCTGCCTAGGAAGTGCCCACCCATCAGCTCTACCCCACCCAGCCCTGCTTACCAGCCCAGCCTCCTCCCCTGGGCTTGGGGGTGGCTCCTCCGATGGGGGACTCCCACCTGCAGACAGAGACCTAGCTAAGACACCCCCAGCTGACACCTGTTCCCAAGAAGTCCCCAGTCTCAGGATTTGTGAGCAGCCTGAGCTGAGCTGGTCACCACCCCCATTACTACTCACCAGGGGTCTGTTGAGAGGCTGTGGATGTGGGTGGGCCAGGAGCAGGCCCGGGGTCAGGGCCCAGACCTTCCTGTGGAAGAAGGGGCCAGTGAGGGCTGGGAGGGGTTACCTGACCGCCCCAGCCTGGGGCCTGCCAGAGCCTCTCACACGCAGACAAGGAGGGGTCCTTGACCCCAGACCCTGCCACACCAGCTGCTAATCTAGTCCTGTGTGCACAGAGCCCTGCCACACACACATCCCTCCAGGGAAAAAGCCTCCTCAAGCACAGGACACAGCCTTCACCCTCCCTGGCCCCTGGTCCTGGCCTGCCCACTTCCACTCTCTGAGCCTGTGCATCCTCCTTCCTGGGCTGATAGCTCCAGCCTCACAGGGTGTGTGGGTGGTAAAAGGCTGTGAAGGGCCCAGCTGGGGTGTCCCTTTGTCCCTCCCGTCCTTGGAGCTCGATCAACCTACTCTGACTCCTGTCACTTAGTGTTGGCATCTCCATCGTGGCCAGGGCCCCACGCCATGACACTGTATTTACCTGATACAGCCCCATCTCCAGACCCAGACCATCCTGTGTCAGCACTTCCACCTCCTGGCCAAAAGGGGGCGCCCTCCTGCCTTATCAGTTCCCACACCCAGACCCTCCTGGACTCTTGACACTCAGAACAAGACAGGCTGGCTGGACCTCCTTATTTTAGCCTGGAAGAGCAGGGCTGGCAACTTGCTGGAACCATCAGCCCTGAGGCCCCCCAACTTTAGGCACAGCCTGGCCTCCTTGACCACTCCTGCTCTGGCCACCCATCTGGGTCAAAGGACAGGGAGAACTGTTAGAGTCAGCCCACTGCCCCCTGACTTGCGCCATTCTTCGGGGCAGCCCTGGACATCCCTGGCTTGGGTGCTATCATCTCTGGCCTGGCTCGGTGGTGGCTTCCTCACCAGCCACCGCCGTACCTGCCTGCTGACCCTACCCTCAAGCCACAACGGAGAAGGTAGAGTCCTGACACCCTCACGGATGGTGTGACTTTCTCTACACCCCTTTTCAGTCCCAGCCTCACTGCCAAGGCCTGCTGACGGCTCCAGCCTCAGCGCTCCCTCCACCCTAAGCCCCTCTAGACGCCACCCTCTGGCCACAGTGACGGACTTTCAGTTCCCAAAACAGCCTCCTCAGCTTGGAGCGGGCCTCCATCTTGGGCTACCCAATACCAACTTGACCTTCACGACCCAGCTTGGCTCCACCACCTGCAGAGGCCCCTTGGGCTCCCACACTCTTTCTGCCTCCCCCCCAACTCTCATGCCTCCTGAAGGCTCGCCTGGTCGCTGGACTGGGCGGAGGCTCCCCTGTAACTGCCCCCACCACAGGTCCAACCCCCCGCCCACTGCCCCATCAGGGCTGTTGGTTATGAGATAACTGTTCAGATAGGGATGGGCCCCGAAAACGCACTCAGAGTGCACTAATTAATAATAACAGCTAATATCTACTGTTAGTAGTTTCTGCGTCAGGCACTGGAAAGCGCTTTATGTGTATTGGCTCACGTAGCTCTCCCGACCGCCCTGTGATTACTGCCCTACTTTTACAGATGAGGAACCCAGGGTCAGAGACAAGGCTCATACAGGGTCTGCTCTAAGCCCAGGGTTGTCTAACCCAAGAGCTTGTTCCCCAGCATGGTCACCAATGTGCTCAGTGCCACTGGGCCAGTCACATCCATTGGGCCTCTGTTTGTGTCCTTGTATATAAAATGGAGAGAAATCCCAACCCTGGCCACACTTGGTGGCTCATGCCTGTAATCCCAGCACTTTGGGAGTCCAAGGTGGGAGGAATACTTGAGACCAAGAGTTTAAGACCAGCCTGAGGGATACTGCATGACCCTGTCTCTACAAAAGATAGAAAAATTAGCTGGGTATGGTGGCCTGAGCCACTGCTTTCAGGTACTCGGGAGGCTAGTGTCACTCTAGAGTGCCATGGAGTCAGCCTAGCTCACAGCAACCTCAAACTCCTGGGCTCAAGCAATCCTCCTCCCTCAGCCTCCCAAGTAGCTGGGACTACAGGCATGTGCCACCATGCCTGGCTAATTTTTTATCGATGTATATATTTTTTAGTTGTCCAGCTAATTTCTTTCTTTTTTTTTTTTTCAGTAGAGATGGGATCTCACTCTTGTTCAGGCTGGTCTCAAACTCCTGATCTTGAGCAATCCTCCCGCCTCGGCCTCCCAGAGTCCTAGGATTACAGGCATGAGCCACCACGCCCGGCCCACATTTTTTTTTTTTTTTGAGACAGAGTCCCACTTTGTTGTCCAGGCTAGAGTGAGTGCCATGGCGTCACAGCAACCTCACAGCAACCTCAATCTCCTGGGCTCGAGCGATCCTTCTGCCTCAGCCTCCCGAGTAGCTGGGACTACAGGCATGCGCCACCATGCCCGGCTAATTTTTTAAATATATATCAGTTGGCCAATTAATTTCTTTCTATTTGTAGTAGAGACGGGGTCTCGCTCTTGCTCAGGCTGGTTTTGAACTCCTGACCTTGAGCAATCCGCCCGCCTCGGCCTCCCGCGCCCGGCCAGGCCCACATTTTTGTTTGTGTGGTTCCCTCAACTTGAGAACCTCTCCCCTCTCCCCCATTATTTACCCGGGAAGAATGTGGCCATGTTATCAACCTAGCTCAAAAGGTAGCTGCTTTTGAGAAAGCCTTTCCCAATGTAGTCCCTCCTTTCCCTCAAATTCAGGGTCACCCCTGGGCAGCTGAAGGCTTGGAGAGGTCTGGCAGAGTTGGCCCTGCTGTTGTAGAGAGGCGGGTGGTGCAGTGCGCAACACCCTCCCCTCCCCCCCCACTTCAGTGGCCGTGAGTCCTCGAGTAAATCCCTGCTCTTTGTAGGACCGTCTCCCCCGCAGCACAATGTTGGGATACTCTGGGAGACTGACCTGAGACCTCCAGGGGCTGGAATGGGGACATACCCCCTCAGGATCTCCCACCTCCAACCTCCCCTTATAAGAAAGAGGAAACTGTTCTCCCAAGTCAGAGAATCTTGGGGTTGGGAGGCCCTGGAAAGTCCCCTTGAGCATAGAAACCCTGTTCCCAGCTTACGGGGCAGGGCAGCTGCTGGCTGACACTGAACCACTGGCAGAAAAAACAAATGCCCAAACCCACTTGACAATCCACAAAGTGTGGGGCTGATGGTGACAACATGGAGCCTCCGGGAACTTCCTGTTGCAGCCCCCATTCCCCTGAGTGCCAAGCACTAACACCCACTAGCACATGTCCCAGGCCGGCAGCAGTCCGGGACCCTAACCCCCACAGCTATGGGCCTGGCGGGCATCGGCTAGAATATGAGTATGTCCCCTAACAGGGCCCTCACTACCACACCAGAGAACAGCACCAGGGTCCCTCTGATCAGAAAGCGCCATCGGCGTCCAGCTGGGTCCCGGGCTCTGAAGCCGACACCAGGGCCTCAGGGCTCGCCCTTTCTCTGCGGCGGGGCGGGGAGGAGCCGCGGGGGTAGGACACTCACCGCAGCTCCCGCGGCTCCCGCGTCCGGGTCGTCCACGGAGAAGGAGCTGCTGTTCCGCAGCCGCGAGCGCCGCTTCTTCAGCAGGTCGGCGTCGCGCACGTGGGAGAAGGAGCCGTGCGCGCGCGGCGGGGGCACCGGCCCGGCCTCCCCGTTGACCGAAGATCGCCTCAGCCTCACGCCGCCCCCCGCGCCCGGCGCCCCCGCCCCGTTCACCAGGCCCTCGGCCGGGAGCACCGGCGCCCGAGCTCCAGGGCCGTCGGCCGGGGCCTCGGCGGAGCGCCCTTCGCGTGCGGCCTCGGCCCCGCTGTCTTTGGAGGCTCGGCCCACGTCCACGCCCCTGGAGGCCGCCTCCGGGGCCGCCCCGTCCGCGCGGTTCGCAGCCTCCTGGGGCTCCTTGGGCGCGTCGGCCCCGTGCTCGCGCAGCCGCTGCGCCAGGCCGCCGGCGTCCAGGTCGTCGGGCGGGCTGGGCTGGGCGCTGCCCACGCGGTAGGTGCCGGCGCCGCCGCCGCCCTCCAGCTGCACCAGCTGCAGCTCCTGCCCGGTGCAGAAGGCGCGGATCTGGCACAGGTACGTCATGACGATGAGCTTGTCGGGCACAGACAGCAGCACCATGTCCGCCGGCTCCAGCAGCCGCGACACACCCAAAGCCGCGAAGCCATCGAAGGCCTAGGAAGGGTGCGCTCGGGGTCAGCTGTGGCCACGGCCCGCGCTACCCAGCAACGCTGCGGCCCCGCCCCGGCCAGCTGCGGGGGTCTGGGCGACAGCGACGTGCACGCCAGGGTTTGCCTAGCAACTCATTCACCCTCCTACCAGGGAAATCTAGCAAGAGGGCCCGCCCTGTCGTTGCTTAGCAACTGCACAGCGTCCACCCCCTGTTACCAAAGGGTGGTTTTGGAAAAACCATCTGGGGAGGGGAAAAGGCCTTAAAAAACAAAACAAAACTAAGGAAAACAAACAATTTAATAACCAAAAGGCTAAAAAGTGGCATAACTTCCAAAAGCCATGGCTAGACCCATGCAACCCACAGATTCCCCAAATCTCAGACCTAAATAAAGCCTGTCTCTAGACCCTGTTTCCCTCCAGATGTGGCTCCCTCCCCATCTCACCTGCTTGTTGTTCTGCTTGATGTTGAGTGGGTCAAGGGAGGCATAGTCACTGCAGAGAAAGTGGTGTCAGAGGCTGGGTCCACACTACCCTCCCTGAAGGCTTCCCCATTCATTCCCACTCCTTCTAGCAGCTCACATCTTGTCTGGGTAGAATCTGTGCAAGATGGCACAGAAGGCCAAGCCGTTCCGCCAGGATGTGGTGAAGTTTGTGATGCGGACTCCACGGTAGCCTGCAGTGACTTCCTGGCACCACTCCAGCAGGGACTGGCTGGAGCTGACCGGGGCAGGTGGTGCCTGGAGACATTGGAGTGGGCTTAGGGAAGGGGTACATGGGCCCTGTGCCCTCTGCCCCTTGGGAAAGCTCGGGCCTAGCATAAAACAGCCTCAACTCTGAGTTTGCAGGGGTCAACAGAGACCACTGGCTAGCTAGAGCCTTGGGACCAGGCAAAAGGGTTTCCAGCTCCAGGATTATCTGCCAAGGTCACCTACAAGGTCAGTGGCCCCCAGGCAAGATTAGAGGTCACCAGCAGCCACACCTCAAGGTCAGCCCAGAAAATCAGCTTGGGGTATCCAGCTCCATGCAGCCCAGGGTAGATGGGGTGGGAGAGCCAGGGCATCCTGAGAGAGGGAGGGATGAGGGGGCTCCTTCAAACTGAGCCCCCCAGCCCACCCCATCCTAGTCAACCAGGTGGGTCCATGCAGAGCCGCCGTTTGCTCAGCTCCAGGTTAGTGGGAAGCAGCAGACTGGGCCCTCAGCGGCCCCCATCCCTACCTGGCTGCCCGGCAGCCTCCTGTCCTCTTCAGGCTCCTCTGGGGAAGAGGCCCCCGAGGGCCTGGGCACCCCAGCCCCTGCCCCACCGGCCACCTGCTCTTCAATCAGGCTGGCCTCTGGGAGGCTTTCCTCAGCTTCTTTCCCCTTCTCGTTTCCCAAGACCCCAGCCTCTGCTTCCTGGGCCTCAAAAACACCAGATTCGTTCTCTGGAGGCCCTAAAACCTCCATCTGTGCTTCCTGGGCCTCCCAATCCCCAGATTTGACCTCTGACACCCCCAAAACTCCAGCTTCTGCCTCCTGGACCCTTAAAACTTTAGTCTCTGGCTTTCGTACTCCTGAAATCTCTGCCTCTGCTTCCTGGGACCCCAAAACTCTTGGGTTACTGACTGGGGCCCTTAAAGCCTCATATTTGAGAGCCCTCCAGACTCCAGTCTCCGCTTCCTGGACCCCAGAAGTCTTAGCTTCTGTCTCCTCACCCTGTGAAACCATAGTTTCTGTCTGTCGGGTTGTCAGTGCCTCAGTGCCTGCCATTCCAGCCTCTATGTCTGAGACCCCTGAATCCCCCATCTCTGTCTTTTGGGCCCCCAATATCTCAGATTCTGTCCCTGGGATCCCTGAATCCCCAGATGCTACTGCCTGGGTCCCCAATATCTCTGCTTCTGCTGTCCCAATCTCTATCACTGGAACCTCTGAACATTCTATCTCTGTTTTCTGGGCCCCCAATATCTCAGACTCTGTCTCAGCTTTTATCCCTGAAACCTGTGAATCCCCAGTTGTCATCTCCTGGGTCCCCAATATCTCAGCTTCTGCTGTCCCAGCCTCTGTCCCTGGAACCCCAGAACCCCCTACCTCTGTCTCCTGGGTCCCTGCTACCTCAGCTTCTATCCCTGGGAGCCCTGAGGCTCCAGCTGTTATCTCCTGGGCCTCCAATATCTTCTGGGCTTCTGCTATTCCAGCCTTTGTCCCTGGAACCCCAGAACCCCCTACTTCTGTCTCCTGGGTCCCTGCTACCTCAGTTTCTATCCTTGGGAGCCCTGAACTCTCAGCTGCTTTCTCTTGGGTCCTCAATATTTCAGCCTCTGTCCCCTCAGCCTCTGTCTCTGGTATCCTGGAACCTCCCACCTCTGTCTCCAGGGCCCCCAATATCTCAGATTCTATCTTATTTTCTATTCTCAGTAACCCTGAACCCCCAGATATTTCCTGCATCCCTAATACCTCAATCTCTGTTATCCTAGTTCTTGTCTCCAGAACACCTGAACCCTGAGCCTCTGTTTCTTGGGTCCCCAGTACTTCAGACTCTGCTGTCCCAGCAGCCCCTGACTCCAGGACCCCTGATCTTGCTGCCTCTCTCTCCTGGGCCCCCAGTTTCTCAGCTTCTAATGTCCCAGTGCCTAGCTCTGGGAAGCCTGAGCCCCCCATTTCTCCCTCCCGGGTCTGCGATACCTCCAACTCTGCCACCTCAGTCTCTGTTCCCAGGACCCTTGCCTCCCCAGCTTCTGCCTCCCAGAGCCCCAGGTCCCTAGACATTGCCCCCTGGTCAGCTGATGACCGGGCCCCCTGACACCTGCTCACCTGGGGCCTGGTGCTTGTTGCTCCAACAGAGGGGCCCTGCTCCAGGCCTGTGCCCCCAACACCAGGGGCTCCACCCCTCACCTCTGCACCCTCTCTCTCCTGACCTGTAGCAGCCCTGGCCCCCTTGAGGTCACTGAGATGCTCAGAGTGCCCTGCAGGCTCTGCTGGGGGTGGGCTCAGGCCTGTGGGAGCCTCATCCCTGGTCCTGACTCCCATCCCCCCCTGAGAGCCCCTGGGAGGAGCCTCAGGAGTCCCCCTGAATCTTGACTCAGGCATTGCCCCTGTAGCCTCTGGTCCCTTGGTGTCCACATGCCTCACTTTTGACCTCTGCTCAGCATCTACTTGACAAACTTCTGAACTCTCTTCAGCCTGCCCCACTCTGACCCCTGGCCTCTTAGTGTTCACCTCTCCAACTCCTGACCTGCACTCAGTGTCCACCCCACTGGCCTCTGCCCTGTCCCCAGTGGCCCCCTCTTCAACCCTGGGTTTCTGCCCTCCCAAAGAGTCTCTGGAGCTTTCATCCTCAATGCCTGGGCCCAGCCTAACTCTGTGGGCCTCCATCCCTTCCTGAATGTTTTCCAGAGCCTGGGTCTCCCTGGCAGAACCCATTCCTGCTGGGGAAGCCCCTGAGGCTTCAGGGACTTCATCCTCCCCTTGGGAGACTGGGGGCCGGGGGGTGTCAGAGCCTTTCTGGAGCCGAGGAGCCGGGGCGGGGGCCATGTCCTGGCCTGGCTGCCTGGAAGACCTGAGGAGAGAGCAGAAGGGAGTGTTGGGGGGCTCCCCCAACTCTCGGTTCCACCGCCCCCTTCAGACTGCTGGGGCACTGGAGAGGCAGGTTGGTGGGGGAAGTGCAGCTCCTAACAGTGGGGGGGGGCTTGTCCCAAAGCTCACCTCATCTCTGGTGGGGTTCCCGGGGGCCTTGGGCCCTCAGGCCCCACCTGGCCCCCTGCTACTGTAGCTGGTTCTGACCCCTGGCCCCGGGAGGCCCTGGCCGGGGGCACAGGGGCACTCACAGGGGCTGGGCTGGTATCCTCGGCACTAGGACTGGCAGCTGGGGGGGAAGGAAGGGAGGGCTACTGAGGCCTGGGCTCCAGGGGTCCAGTCCACACCCCAATCACAGTCCGGGCCTCACCTGCCTGCCGGGATCGGACTCGGCTCTCCTCCTCCTCCTCACAAAGTGTCTTCAGCTCCCTAGAGGGGGCTGGAGTTGGGGGGTGAAAGAGCAGAGTCAGCCCAGGCAGGGCCCTGCAGCTCTGACCCCCTCCCGCCAGAGAGAGTGCAGGGCCTACCTGGGAAACGCCCCGGCCTCAGGGCACCGCCCCTGCCTTCGAGAAGAGACAGGCCCACAGATGCAGACAGAAGAGAGAGAGAGAACCATAACAGTGGACAGAGAAAAAAGCCTCACCAAGCAGAAGGGAGGGATGAGGAAGCCCAGAGCTGACCCAGGACGGGGTGGGGAGGGGTGGGGAGATTGGCCTGCAGCTCTCTCCGGGCTCTGACCCAGCCGTGCCAGGTAAGGCACAGGCCTGGGCAGGCACCACCCAGGGGTGAGGAGAGGGCCAGGGGTATGGGGAGGCATTGGGAACCCATCCTGCAGGACTCAGCTAAGGCCCAAGGCCAACACAGGATGAGGGACCCAGCTGGGACAAGCAGGGCTTCTGGGCAGGCTGGGACTGCCTGGGCAGTAATGAGCTCCATCACTGGTGGGCACAAACTGGCCCTGCCCCAGCACAGCAAGTGGCTCATGGCCCGGGTACGCCCCATCTTCCCCAGGTCTTGGCAATCTCCATCCACAGCAGGCTGTGAGCTCACCTGGCTGGGGCACTCGAGCCCGGGCCTCAGGGGCCCCTGGGCCATTAGCCTCATCCTCGTCACTCTCAGCAAAGTCGTCCAAGTTGCCCACATCACTAGGCTTCACGCTCATGAGGCTTGCAAGACTCTGCATGTCATCGTCCCTGGAGTCAGATGTCAGAGATGAGGGCTGGGGTCAGAGGCCTCAGGCCAGGGCCAAGGAGGGCAGGCGGGCACTCACGTAGCACGGCCCTCCCGCAGCAGCACCCCTGAGAGAGTGAGGCTCAGCTCGGCGTGCACCACCTTCACCGACTTGGGCTTCAGCCGCAGCCGCAGCGGAACATGGGCAGGCACGGGCCCCGCGTGGCGGGCCAGGTCCACCTCAGCCGTGGCCAGCACCTTCCTCTGCCCCTTGGACTCCTGTGGGTTGGGGCAGGGATCAGGGGAAGGGGCATCAGTGCTGCCTCAGGGTCCCCAAGATCCCAGATCTCAGCCCACCTTGGCTACTCACATTCTCAATAATAAACGTCCACTCTTTGGCCTCATACTGGTCCACGTGTGGATCCTGGGAAGAGGGGACATCAGTGAGTTCAAGGCTGCTGGGGGACACTGGCTCAGGAGGGGCTTGATAGGGGCCTTCACACATGCTCTTCCCTCCTCCTGGGAGGCAGCCAGCACCTGACCCCAGCTGTCTCTCATCTGCATGTGTTGGCTAAACGCTGCCTCTTCCAAGGAGACCTCCAGACCACTCAAGTTGTGTATGCCCCCCAATTCTTTTTTTTTTTTTTGAGACAGAGTCTTGCTTTGTCACCCTGGGTAGAGTACAGTGGCGTCATCATAGCTCACTGCAACCTCAAACTCCTGGGCTCAAGTTATCCTCCTGCCTCAGCCTCCTGAGTAGCTGGGACTACAGGCTCAAGCACCCTAATTTTTCTATTTTTAGTAGATATGGGGTCTCGCTCTTGCTCAGGTTGGTCTTGAACTCCTGAGCTCAAGTGATCCTCCGCCTGGGCCTCTCAGAGAGCTAGGATTACAGGCGTGAGCCACCATGTCTGGCCGCCTCCCTAATTCTTGTTCTTACTCCTCTGTTCTTTCCTGTTTGGATGAATAACCTGCCAAGGGACCCCGTGGCCGCCCAGGGTTGCAATTGCTTACCCATTCCCATCTACACTGGAGGGCTAGAGACTCACCCTGTAGAGGGTCACAGAGATGTCCACATTCTCAGGAACCATCCACACCACGGTGCCCCGGTATGGGTTCTCGATGCCTGGCTGCCAGCTGTGAGCCTACAAAGGGCAGTCTGAGTCCTCCCCCAGTCTTAACTCTCCCCCCATGCCCTCATCTCCCACCTTGATCCCATCTTCCTCTCCCCTCCATGAACTCTCATCTGAACCTGAACCTGGCTCCACTCCCCTACCAGCCCCCACCAGCCTTCCCCACATCCCCCCCAGCATTGGCCCCATCCCCAGCCGGGACCACAGTTGCCATTCTCCCCACCTTGGAGCAGATGCGTCGGTTCCGCCGGGTCCACACCACCACCAGCTTATCCGGCTGCCTGGAGTAGGGGTGGTGGGAGGAGGCTGCTCAGTCAGCCTCTAGCCCACCCAGCTTCCTTATCTCCTCCTCATCCTCCCCCTTGCTCCCTCAGGGTCTTCCTTCTGCCCACGTCCCCTTCCCCCCAGAAGAGGGCCTGGGCAGCCCCTTATCTGGGGCCACAGGGTGCAGGGTGGGGCTGCTGAGGCAGGGTGGGGCCGGAGCAGAAGGGCAAAGGCCCGGACAGCGTGGGCCAGCAGGAACTGTGGGGAAAGACAGCAAGGGAGACAGAGACAGGCACACACAGACACACAGACTCAGGGAAACGCAGCAAGGGCCCAGCAAGAGATGACAGACGCAGGTGAGCGGTGAGTGTGCCTGCACGCCTGCCCACACACACGCGCACACACACAGCCGGAGAGACAAAGACCAGGAATTAAAGAATTAATTCACACATATTTGTGGAGTGCCCACTATAACCCCAGCCTAGTTTTGGGGACAGAGCAAAGGAGCAAGACCCTTCTGGGGCTGAGGACAACAGAGGTTGGGGGCTGAGTGCCAGTCAAGAAGGAAAAGAAATGAACAAGCTAACTGCAGGGCGATGTGAGAGAGTCCCGGGGTCTCCTTGAGGTTGGGTGTCTGAGCAGAGGCGTGAGAGGAGGGACAGGCTGTGTGAGGATCTGGAGAAAGAGGGTTCCAGGTGGAAGGAATGGCAAGTCCAAGGGTCTGAGGCTGGGGGGTGAAGGGAGGTCAGAGGGAGGCACAGAGGGTGGGAAGTGAGGCCAGAGAGGCAGAGGGTCAGCTTGTTATTAGACGACACCCCCCAGCCTGCCATGCCCAGCCCTTTGCTGGGCCCGGGCCTGAAGGATGGTCAGCCGGCACCCCCACTTTCCTGAATCAGGGAATTGCAATCAGGGAAGGCTTCCAGGAGGTGACATCTAAGCTGAACGGCATATACCAGGGTAGACATAGGAGAGGCAAAGAGATGCAGGGATGCAAAGTGAGAGGAGTAATGGCCGTGCAGGCCCCCTCCCAGACATGGAGCCAACACGTGGCTGGGCCTAGGGGGAGAGGGCCCCTTTGGGTTAGAGTGTTCAATTGCTGCCCAGGAGTGGGGGATGGTTAAGGGGACAATCTGGCTGAGGGCAGCACAAGAGCCCTCCTTGCCTGTACCCAGTGCCATACCAGGATGCCCAGATATGCCCTGCCTAGTACCCCTCTGGAGGCCAAGCCAGGATAACTGGCTCTCCTGACACTGAGGCCCAGAGAGGCTGGGGGCCAAGCAAGGTCACACAGCTGAGCCTGGAGCCCTCTGGCCCAGAGCCAGGCTTCCTTCCCCAGCCCCAAACTGCAGGGGAAAGCCAAGCAAGGGTAGCCATGGGGCCTTCCCAGAAAGGGGAAGCGACAGGGGTGCCTGGGGAGGGCGGGGCCTGGCTGGGCAGCCTGACTCAGGCTGGGCACGCCCTCCTGAGGAGCCACGACCTGGGCAGGGGCAGCTTCCTGGCCTGGGCTCCAGGCTAAAAAGCCCAGAAGGCCCTACCCACTGCTGCCTGTGACTCAGCCACACTGACACTGCCAGCACTCTCAGCCTGCTCTCCAGGACAGTGCCCAGTGTCCCCCTAGTGTCACTCAAGATGCTGGAGCAGAAATCAGAGGCCAGAGTTCAAGTGGCAGCCCTGTGCTGTGCTATCCCTGTCAGCCCTGACCTCCCTGAGTCTCTGCTGAATGGAGTCAGTGGCCCTCAGGAGGCCCTGTGTGGACAAGACCAGGGATATGGCAGCTGCCCAAGGGACCCTGGCCTCCTCATCTCTCCCCTCCCCTTGGACCCCATGGTCCCTTCCTGCCCCAGTCCTTCCCCTGGGGAGCCTAAATTTAGCCCCGCCTGGCGGGTGAGGCCCCCACAGCTGTGCCCTAATCCAGCCAAGGGAAGCTGACACCAGCGAGCACGTATATTTAGGGTGTGACGCAGGGGCCTGGGCAGCTGCGGTGGGGGCCTGTGAACGAGGTGCCCCTGGGCCCTTTGGCAGTCGGGGCCAGGACCTGCACCCTCTCATGTATTGCCCCTCACCGTCACCTTGCCCTCGGCAGGCCCTCTCCTCCTGGACCCACAACGGTCTAGGCCCTCAGGCCCCTTTAAGCCGCTCCCCGCCTCCCTCCTCATTCCTCCCAGCACTCAGTTTCCCCTTTTAAGGACATTGTGGAGACATCTCCAGCCTCCCAGCACTCACTCTGGCTGAAGGGGCGGGGGTTGGGGGGTTCTTCTGGCTCAACCAGATGGCAGGGGAGGACGGGGCAACATCTTTGTGCTGAGCTGGGCTAAGGTCCATGGAAGCGTCTACCTCAGCCCTGGCCACCTACAGACCTCAGAACTTGCTCCCTGATCCAATGCCACCCTGAGCCGTCTCTCTGCTGAAAGACACGCAGTCTCCCTTCCCCAGTCCTGACCACGGCGGACAAAAATGTGGGTACAGATTCTCAGGCTCGGAAAGCTGCCCGCATCCCCAACTCTAGGGGTTCCACAAGTTGCAAGGGCACTTCTGAGTTTCTGTGCCTGGAACATCAGGTCCCAAGCTGGTGGGAAGCCCCTTTGGTCACGGGGCCGGGGGTGGGGGCAGGTTTCTCTCAGGCTCAAAAGGCCAGACGGGTTCCCAGCTGGTCTTGGGGAGTCCCCCAGGCCTCCCTCCCACTCACCATTTCTTGGTGCACTCCAACACCAGCTCATGGTAACAGGCCACAAACTGGAACTTGGCGGCCCGCTTGCCCACGCGCTGCAGGCGCTTCCACACCGAGGTCATGGCCCCAGCCCCGTCGTCCGCTTCTCAGGCCAAGGGCTCCCGCTGGCCCGCGACCGCTGGCCCAGTCCGGGTCCCCATGGCTTCTAGGGCTCGGATCCGCGCTGCCCGCCTCGTCCTTGCGGAGTTGACTGAGGCTCGGACCCAGGTCCGCTCTCCCTGCTGTCGCCGTAGGGGCCTGTGGAGTGGTCTGGCTGAGTCTGCGGGGTCGTCTGGTGCGCGTCGGGTGGCTGGAGCGCCAAGCAGCGAGCGAGCAGAGCGCGCCGTTTCCTGGAGCCGCACCCCCGTCGGAAGGCGGGCGGGGCTCTGGCGCGGGGCGGGGGCCGGGGCAGGAGCACGGGAGGCGGGGCGACCCGGCTTCCGGGGCCTCGAGCCGCGATGGGGCGCGGTGGGGGGAGCAGTGGTGGAGGGGGTGACGCCTGACCGCAGCGCTGAGGCGGTGTAGACACGCAGGCCGGGTGCGGAGCCCGTGGGCCTGGGGAGAGGGCAACCGACAACTTGGTGCGGCTCTTGAGAGCGCTGCTCCGGCCTCCTCCCTTCCTGCTTGCAGCCCTGGGAGATATGTACTGGTGGCCCCATCTCACAAGCTAGGAAAACAGAGACTCAGAAAGGGGAAGGGACTTGCTCAGGGTCATACTGAGAATCTGGACCAGAGCCAGCTGTCCTCAACTCTAGGGTGGCTACATCTTAACCAGAGCAGAAAGGAGCAGAGTCAGGGACAAACCTCTGTGGCCCTACTTCTAGGCAGCACTGACCCCCACTCTCTCAGAACCTGGTTTCTCCGCTGTCACGTGGGAAGATAATCCCTACCTCCCACAAGTAGCTGGAGGTTCAAATCCTGACTTCCAACCAAATGTGTGACTTTGGACAAAGCACCAACACTCCAAACCTCAGTTTCAACGTCTGCTAAATGGGAATAATCATAGTTCCACCTTTTATAATCATTGGGAAGATGCAACCTAGGTAAACATTTAGCACAGAGCCTGCTGATTTTGCCAGGTGTCATTAAATGGAATTCGTTATCATGGACGGGGGAAAAGTGTGCCTGCGCGTGTGTTTGTTTACCCTCCCTCCCGGGGAAGCCTGCCCCGGGCGTTAGCGGCTGGGTTAACACCTAGATTAGAGCCCTTATCGCCTACCCTCCCGCCCAGCATGGTAATGAACGTCTGCTGGGGTGTCAGGCCCAGTTAGAGAACTGCCCTGGGGAAACACATCGTTTTGTTCTCTCCAGCTGCTCAGCAAGGTTTGCGAATGGACCGAAGCCCGGTGCGTGATAAAATACTCGGTTTGAAGAGGACGTCAGATCTCCCAGGGGTGCCAGCTGCGTGGCATGTCCAGGAGGCAAGTGACTGTTCAGCAGGGCATGGGGATGAAATGCCTGTACGCCAAAGTATGCGACCTCGCGGCCTCTCCTCTTCGCTCCGACTCAGGAAGTTGTCGAGTGTAGTGCGTGGGGGGTCTGAGTACCCATTGTCCCCGAATGTGCAGGCTTCTGGTGGGCTTCACACCTGGGTTTGGCTCCCAGTCCCAGCGCTGTGGTCTTCGGTTTCCTCCATAAAAGGAAGCCTTTTACATACAACCGTAAAGGCCCCTCCCTGGCGCTGCGGGGCAGCTGGGCGGTCTGCATGAAACTAAGTGCGGAATCGGGGTGTCTGGGACCCCAATCACTCTTCACCGCCGCCGGCACTGTCCCCCTCCTGGGGCTTGCCTGGCCTGTAGGGAGGCGCGGGATACTGCGATCTTCACTCCCTTCTGCCTCTGCCGCTCTTTCCTCCCACCCGCAGGCCATTAGCTGCCAGGCCCTTCCTGAAGGCTCCTTTCCCCTCTCCAGCCGAGGGGCCCCTTGGTCCGCTGACTCCCGCCCACCCATTTCCTGTGCTGCCCCAACTCCGCCCTCGCGGGGTGGAAAGTTTCTCTCCTCAAGATGGGCGGCTGCTGCGTCTTCCTTCCCGGCCCGCCGGGAAAGCCCAAAGCGAGTTGGGAAGGGCCGGGGGCGGGAGATTGGACTCTGAGGTCGCCGGCCTGAGAAGGGAAGTGACTCGACCGCAGTCACCCAGCTGCGGAGCCAGGCTCGGCCAGCCTGGAACGCTTTCCAGCCCCGCCCGGCGGAGGGCGGACTCGCACCCCGCCGCCGCTCAGCTCTCGTCCACTCGGGGTCTCGGGCGCCACCTGCCGACAGAGCGTGGGGCCGCACTTGCCAGAAACACCGCTATACTCCCGCCCCAGAGCCAGGCAGTCAGAACACAACAACGCGGAGAGAGTATTTATTTATCTAGGAGGCTGGCCCCTAAACTTAAATATCCAGCATGGAGCCTGTGGCTCTCCTGGCCGTGGGGAGGTGCAAGGACGGGTCCTGGAGCCCTTGTCCAGGGGAGTGGAATCCAGAGATCAGAGCTGGGATGCGCCTGAGCCAGCAGCTGCCAGAAGCAACAAAAGGCTAGGAGATAGGAGCCAGGCACTCATCCCAATCCCAGAGACGCTACGGGGAGAGTAAGATGCTTTGGGTGAGCCCCCCATCGCCAAAATGAGGGTTGGCCAAGCTGGGGACACACGTGTGGGAGAAGTGGAGGCCCAGTGCCATGGGCAGAGGCTATAACCTAGGTACCAGCCCCAGTGCCAGCTAACCCAAGACAGGAAAGAGAGGGGTTGGCAGTTTTGCCTCTGAGGTGGCACAGGCCTTGCCCTCCTATGAGGTGAGGCGGTATGGGGGAGAGCAGGCACTGCAGTCTGAGGACTTGTGACGAGTGAGCTTCTGAGCCTTTTGCATGGATACATGCCACCCACCCCCCAGCTCTTCAGAGGCTGATGTGAAAGGCATCCTGCAGCCACTGGTCACGGGCATTGTGCGTCTGGGGTACAGTAAGGGGTGGTGGGTCAGGGGGCAGGCTGGCATCAGGAGGCTCCTCATCATCAGATAGGCCGGCATCAGGTGGGTAGGAGCTGTCCGAGTGCAGGGAGGATGACAGGTCCTGGCATAAGCTCAGGTCTTGGCACAGGTGTTTGTAGTCCTGGATTGACTCATATAGGCCCCACAGCTGGCACAGCAGGGACATGTCCAACTGCCGCAGCCCCACCTGCAGACAACTGAGGGTGGGCTGGAGTTGGGGTCCAGGCCACCCCCAGTCCCAACCTCCTGGAATCCAGGGCCCCCAGCCCAAACCATGTCCTAGCTAGTCTTCCTACATCTTCCTAAATGAAAGGTTTTGTTTTGTTTTCTTTTTTTTTTTTGAGACAGAATTTCACTCTGTTGCCCGGGCTAGAGTGCCGTGGCATCAGCCTAACTCACAGCAACTATTTTTTTTTAATTAAAAAAATAAAGACACCACTTGAAGTACAAGCAAGTTTTTGTGAACATCAAGACACTACCTGCAAGCTATGAAACTTTAGGCAAGTCACTGACCCTCCTCATCTGTAAAATGGGGATAACATGAATCTAGAAGGATGAAATGAAGTAACATGAGTAAAACATTTAAAAATATATGGTAGCTATTGCCACAAAATGGTAACTAATTTTTTTTCTTTGCTCTGAGCCAATTATTTTGGAAGTTTTTGTTTTTTTTTTGAGACAGGGTCTCGCTCTGCTGCCCAGGCTAGAATGCAGTGGTGTCATCACACCTCACTACAACCTCAAGCGATCCTCCTGCCTCAGCCTGTCAAGTAGCTGGGACTACAGGCGCACTACTGTACCTGGTTAATTTTTGTATTTTTTTGAAGAGATGGGGTCTCAAGCTCCTGGCCTCAAGTGATCCTCCCTATTACAGGGATGAGGCACCACGCCAGGCCACTATTACTAATTATTGTTACCATACCCCTGTGACCCAACGGGCTCTGAAGGTGCTCTGAGACCCAGGCTGCCTGTCCGGGTTCATGGCTCTAAGCTCCGCCCCGGGACCTCTTGCTCCGCAGTAGCCCCCAGCCCGGCTGGCTGTCGCCTACCACTCACCATCTCCTTGCGCAGCGCGGCTAGCGCCGAGTCGAGGTTAACAGGACGACGTGGGCCGACAGCGGGTCCTGCGCTGGCCGCGTGGCGGGTCCCGTCCGGGGCGCGGGCGGCGCGGCTCAACTCATCGTGGATGCGGCTGCGCTGGCTGTAGACGCGCTCCAGCTCCCGCCACGAGCCCCCGCTCGCGTTAAGGAGGCCACTGAGGCCGCGCGGCAGCGGCGGGAGCCCGGCCAGGGTGCAGCCCGTGCCACCCGGCGCCTCGGCGGAGGGCAGCCCGTTCATAGCTGGGCCGGCGCGAACGGCGATGCCGCCTCCTTCCCTCCAACGCTCCGCCCGGGCCGCCGCCCGCAGGCCCCGCACCCCGGGGCCCCGTTGGCCAAGCCCAGCCGCCGCCCGAAGGCCGCGCTTTGTTCCTTCCCCAGCTCCGCAGGCTCCGCCTCTGCCCCACCCCCTCCGCTGGGCCGGGCCTCTCTTAAAAAGGCAACAGCCGTGGGACCACGTCGCTCAAAGCAGAGAAAAGGCAATCGGGCTCCCACCAAAGAGAAGACAGAAAAAGGGGCAGGAGTGGTTCCTTCGCGGTTCTGTTTGCTACCCTCCTCCACACACACACTTTGTTCTGCCCAATTACTCTCTCAAGGAAAAGGATCTAAAATTGGGGGTCGGAGACCAGGGCAATTCCGTACTTGGCTCCTAACTTGCAACCTGTCACTTGGGTCACCACAACCTGCTGTCAACCTCTGAGTACCCAGGGTGGGCATGAGATGGCACAGGATGATAGAATCAGGATGCTTAGAGAAGGGCGGGGAAGCCACCAAGGAGACTGGAACCCAAAATCTCACTGGCAGGTGGGAAGGGCACTGGATGGCTGATGAGGCTGCAGGGGTGCTGCCAGAGACCACCCCTCTTGATCCTAGCTTTGAAAAGGCGACAGCCTCTTCCTCAGAAAAGGGGTATCACATACCCTCTACCTACTCCCTGATCCTCTGACAGGGCAAACAGAGCAGAAACAAGATCAACTGATCTCTCAGAGCATCAAGGAGAGCAGATGACAAAAACGACAAAAGTAGGAAAAAGGTGAGTGGAGCTGGGGCCGGCATGCATACTCAGAACCAAGAAAAGAACAAACCACACAGAGGAACAACTGTTTTTCTAGAGGGTTTTTCTCAGGGGCATCTTTTAGTGCTGCAGCTGCTGCAGGCTGTGCAAGGCTTCCGCACATGCCCGGATAAGGCCACACAGCTGGATGCTAGTCTCCAGGGAGGTGCTAGAACCCAGCTCGGCTGAGGCCCAGGTCAGCTTCTGCAGGAGGGCTGCCTGTGTGCAGGCCACCACACCTGCATTTGGAGACACAGCAGGAGGGGGTGGGCCCTGGGCTGCCTTGAGCCCTGCTGCAGCTCCCTCACAGTGCTCCGGTCGGGGTACTGGGGGCTGAGGGGCAGGCCGAGGAGCTGAGGGGAGCTCTGTGGAAGAGGCAAGCTGGTGCTCTCGAGCTTGGGAGAGGGCAGCCTGGGCATTCAAAGCTAAAAGAGGAGAGAGTGGGTGGAATGGTCAGGATGCCTGGCCCACCTGAGCCCTGAGTCACCTTTCTCTCTACTGCTCTGCCCTTTCTGTGGTTGAGATGTTTTCCCTGCCCCCACTAGAAGGCAATTCATCCACTTTCTACTTTGTATCACAGCTATTTATGCCCTAGCTTCATCTCTCCATCAGGACTGTGCCTGATTGAGCTCAAACTCTCTCCCAGTGTCTGGCACACAGGAGGCGCTTGGTGCTCTTACTGAATGAGTAGTCCCAAAAGGGGAAAGCCCCTTATCCGCCCCCGCCCCAGACTCACTGTCACCTCCCAGGCTTATTGTTCCCAGGCTTCTATCACCACTCACTACGCTTCTCCACGGAACCCCCTCTCCCCTGCCCCTCACCTGGGTTATCTTTATCCACATCTGAGTCGAGCTCCTGGCAAGCCACACAGTAGATTTTCCGCTGCTTGTCTTGGAGGAGGATTGTCTAGGGATTAGAGAACACACAGGACAGAGGTGAGACAGCTGGCGATGGAGTCTAGAGGGGACAGGTGAGAAAAGGCCATGCACCCTGGCCGCGACCGCATCCCCAGTCACTCGCCCGAGTCTCTCCTCACCCCGCAGTCCGCGCACGTCTCGCCCAGCATGCGGTAACCGCGCAGCAGGTAGTCGCCCATGAGCCGGGAGATTCGATCCTGCCGCTCCCGTCGTGCCTGCAGCACCTTCGTCTCTGCCTCAGTTGGGGGCTCCCAGGAGAAATCGTCGACTTCTGGGGAAGAGAGGCACAAGGAGCCGGGGGTCTTGCCGGAGCCGACTGCCTCCCGTACCCCGCAGCCACAAGCCCCTGCAGCCCAAGTCCTCACCAGCGCCGTTCAGGGCCATGTTGCCGTTGTTGCCTCTGGGCTCACCGGAAGTGACGCACAAGTGGAGCGCCTACCGCCGCGGCTCCGCCCCTCCTCTATCCGGCTGAGGAAGAGGGCGGATGTGACGCTTCGGCGCGGTTCTCAGACCTCGATGTGCCCAGAGTGGGGCGTGTCTGCTGCAGACTTGACCCTGCCCTGGAGGCGCGTCTGGCAGCGAGATTCCAGTGGACTCAAGCTTTAGACTGGCGGGGCTTCAGGAGGGGTGTCTCCGTGGTAACTGTGCTCCAGTCGCAAGACCTGGAATTGGCTTCGTAGGGTCGCCCTTCCTGCCCGTCGCGGTTGGAAGGGACCACTGAGCTTGAGAAATCTTGGCTTGCCTCTATCCTCCCCGGGATTTCCTTTTCTGCACTGGCAGAGCTCAGTGCAGGCTTGGTAGTGGAGTCATCACAGCAACCATAGTCATTACAAACGGCCCTTTGCAGGCGAGAAGGGCCTTCTCAGGCTTTAGTGCCTCTCACTTTGACTGGTAAGGCAGGCCAGGCGGGGATCATTCTGGCTTTCAGCCTATTTGAGGACCCCTCCCCTTCTGCATGTTTGATGTCCCCGTCTATCTCCTCACCCACCCCCACCCCACCTCCTGAGGCCGGAACTGAAGCAAAGTCTGCCCCTAAGCAGACCATTTTTCGAAGTTTAAGCCCTCAAAAAGCTTGCTGAGTGAACAGCGCTGTGCTGCACATGCACAGTCTCGGTTCCAGCCGCAGCTGAGAGATGATGCATGCCAGAGGATGGGGATGGGGAGCTTAGTACATATACTTATGACTGTTAGGGTCTTCTTGGATGAGTTGCAAGTTAAAATTACCAGTGCTTCCTGAACGTTGGCCTGGGTGATTTTTTCTTTCCTGTGTTCTCTTTCCATGCACATTCTCTCCCTTATTAAGTTCAGAGAAGCCAGATGGGGCAGGCAGGGCTCCCAGATGTGCAGTCTTTTGGGCCTGGAGGTTTTATACCAGGACAGTGGAAAAGCAGGTAGGACTTAGACTTCCATGATCTCATCAGCAACCTCCTTCTTTGAACAGGCCATGTTCACTCAATATTACCTGAAGTGCTCTTCTCCTGGCCCCATCTTCCTCCTACATAGACCCCCTGGAGCTGCCATTTTATGATCCTTGCTGCCAGCTTATTTAGAAGCCCTGTGCCCCTCTTCAGTCTCTACATCTACCAGCAGGCTGTTGAGTGACAGTGTGCCTGACTCAGGGACTGTACCCCAAGTCATTTTTGCCAGGCTGATTAGAGGAATTGTCCCTGAATAATCTCTTGGACTCCAGTATATCGGCACAGACCCTCTATGTCTCCAGCTCCCAGCCCCACCCCGAATTCTTCAGTGCACACTGTGTCATCATCATAGCCAATATCCACTCAACTGCCTACTCTGCCTGGCACCAAGACCCTTACACATCTTCCTGCTTAATCCCTTTCATTTACTCCTCTTGATAACTTTATGGGGTAGGTACTCTTCTCCCTATTTTACAGAGAGGAAACTGAGAGATGTTTTTTTTTTTCTCAACTTGCCCAGGCTAGAATGCAGTCACTGCAACCTCAAACTCCTGAGTTCAAGTGATCCTCCTGCCTCAGCCTTCTGAGTAGCTGTGACTACAGATGCATGCCACTGTGCCCGGCTGCTAATCTTTTAAATGTTTTAATTGTTTGTAGAGACAGAATCACACTGTGTTCCCCAGGCTGGTCTTGAACTCCTAGCCTCAAACAATCCTCCCACCCTGGCCTACCAAAGTGCGAGGTGTGAGCCACTGAACCCTGCCCTCAGTAATTCTTTTAAAACATAGATCGATCATGTCATGCTTTTTGTCACAATCTTCTGGCATCTCACCATCACACTTAGACAAAAGTGTGCAGTCCTTATTATGGTCTCTGAGGTCCTACAAATCTGGTCCTTGGCTTCTGTCATCTCCCACTCTCCCTGCATTCCTCCTCTCCTACTACTCAAGAGGATTCTCATCACCTTCCTCCTCGCAGGGTCTCTCCCTTCCTCAAGTTCCACTATAGGGTGGGCACGGCACAGGAATGGAATGAGGCAGGCCTTAGTTTGATCCTGGATCACCTGGAGTAATTTCTTCACCTATTTGGACTTGAGAGTCTCATCTGTAAAACAGGGCTGGTTATACCTATTTAGTTAGGTTGCTGTGAGGATTTGGTGAGGAGATGTGAGGAGAGTGGTATTTGGAGACAATTTTTCTCCAGTCTTTCACATTTGTGCAGGTCTTGTGAGCAGAGACACTACTACCTTTGTTCTGGACTATCTTTTCAAGGATGTTAGTATGGTGAGCAGCCTTGCACCACAAAGATAATGTTTCTCTCTGGAACAAAAGGCACACATACTTACTGCCCATTATAAAAGATTTGGATCCTTCTTGTAATACAATTCACCATGCCTATAGGCATCCATGTGGGTCCCTCTGCATTACCTGCATTGGACTTGAAGGTAAGGGGAAGTGACACAAATATGCTCACGTTCATGCTGCTTGCTTGCTGTAATGAAGTCCTTTGTTTCTGACTTAGAAGTCTCGTGTCTTCTGCCAGCATCTTGAAATTGTATCCATCTAACTTGGTTGTTTGAAAGTAGAGTAAAATCTTAGACCTTGCACTGTTGTTGACAGTTTTGGCAATGAGGATGAGATGATGACAGAGACATGGTTTTTTATAAGAAGGATGAGGATCTCATGGACAGATTAACGGGTTTTGAGGGAAGGCCAGGGAATTGGTAGAATACATGTTCATCGCATTGTATGGCCAAACAAACAATGAATGGTCTTTGGCTTTATTTGCTGTTCATGAGGAGGAATTAGCAAGGTGCTTGCAGGCCAAGTACCAGGAAATAGGTTCAAAGTCAGCTTCTAGACATTTCTCTGGTAGTTGCTAATTCTTCTCTGGGTAGGGTTGGGGAATGGAGGGGTAGTTCCTCACAGTTAGCCTCAGGTCTGCTTCATTGTAACAACCAGTATTACCACTCATCCTGGGAA